ATGAAGGTTGACTATTGTGTCATATTCTATTAATAGTACAAAATTTATTTTTCTAACTTTTTTGAAATTATGACAAAAAACTTTGCTAATACTCAGTCTACTTACAAAAACATTCAAGATATCAATAGTTTTTTTAACAATGTATCTGATTGTAAAGAGGATTTTACCTTTTTACAAGATTAAAATTCCTTTAAAACTGCTTGTTTATTATTTCAAAAATCAACAAGCAGTAGTAGTGAAAAGTAAAAAAATGACTTAGCTATTCTATCTATTGTTACAGAAGCAGAAAATGATATGAATATACTACAAATAGCAGAAAAAACTTTGTCAGCTTGTGCAGTAGTAGATATTATCAATGGAAAAATAAAATGTTGTAGTAAAACAGAAAAATTATGTAGATTATAGCAATTGGTTGGGATGTGACAATTAGATAAATCAATGGTAAATGGTGTAGGTAGAAACCTAGATAAATTAGGAGTTTGTTATAACTATTTTATATTTGATCAAAATAAATTACATTCAAAAAGTACTAAAAAATTAAAAGATGCTTTAGAAAGTTTAATTCATTTTAGACGTTGTTGATTCTGTAGAATTAATTATTATTTTTTTAGTCGTAGAAAATTTTGTGTAGAACATTCTTGAAAATTATTAGAAAAGTATGTTCAAGTTTTATGTATAGGTCAAAAAAATTGTAAGGCATTAAAAAAATTTGGTTCTGTTGTAACAAAAGTACAATCAAATCACAAAGCCAGATATATTTGTTGTGATTGTTATGAAAAAGAAGGAGGGCATTTAAATGTAAAACCTGAACGAAATAAAAAAGAAGATAGTTGTCATTTTGAAGGAAAACATAAGAGAGATCTTGTTAATTCATTAGAACTTATGAATAAATGGATTATTTCAAGTAATAATATACAATTACAAACAAAAATTTTAAATCTTATTATATCAGCTTTGTAAATTCTTGATGTTGAAAATAACGAATAAACTAACATAACATATGATGATAATTTTATTGAAACATCACTAAGTTTATTTTCCATAAAAACAATATTTAAATTATATAAAATTAAAATAGAAAATTCAATTTTAACGTCTAAAGATTGCTTACAAATAGGTATCAATTTAGCTAAAAATCTTAAAAAATCTTTTAAAGAATTTCAAAATTTTCAGATATTAGAATCACCTAGTTCTTTAATTGAATACCAATCAGTACTTCCTAAACCTCTATATTCTTTATTTGAAGAAATGATAGGTAATTTATTAGAATGTAGTAGAAAAAGAGCAAATGAAAAACAAATATCATGAAAAAAACCAACAAAGCCTATTAATCAAATTAAGATAACAAAAGTTAGCATATTTTTAACTTCTGAAATCCTTTCCTTATTCAAAAAAAGTAAAAATTTGGCTACCAATAATACTTTCAAGTTTTTGTCGTAAACCTTGTTTATTATCTTTATTACATCAAGTTCTTCAATCTGTAAATGTAGTTGCATATACAGATTGCTATGAACGACGTCTGAAAAATAAAAAAATGTCAGCTGCTGATACAATTTTACGTCTAAAAAAAAATAATAAGATATGGAATATATGTGTTATTGATAACATTGATTTCAAAGAAAAAATATTCACTTTTGGCAATATATATAACATAATACGAGAAACCACCCATGCAATATTAAGAATTGTATTCTAATTTAAATTACCAATTTCTCTTGAATCAATTGAAGATAATATAATACAACTTAAAGAACAAACTTACTTATTTGGTCTGAATCAATTTGCTAATGAAATTTTAATTGGATTTGAACTTTTAATTAATCAACTTCTTAACTGTAAACGAAAGGAAGATAATTCAATAGAATATTCATGTGAATTTGATTGTGATATTGTAAATACAAAAATAATTGAACAAATAAATATTGGTATACAATGTTTACCACTGCATATTATTATTCTTGAAGCTGGAGGAAATCCTAGCAATAATAAAGATATATTTGTTACATGTTAAAATATATAGAAGATTTAAAATTAGTTGAAGAACAACCTGTAGAAATCTGTTGTGATAAAGCAATCTTTTGTAGAGTTTTCAAGCTTCACCAAAAAAATTCAAGAATCAGACCTCTTTTAGGATAGTAGCACATATCTAAAGATATGTGTAATGCATTTTAACAATCTTTTCAAGTTACAGAATTTATAATCTTGCTGCTATGTTAGGTGTAAAGTTTTTAGATAAATTAGAATCTGTAATAAATTACCGTTTTACCTGTAGAGTATTAAATTTAATATGGTTATCAGTTGCTTGTGCAATCCATATTCATATTACTAAAAAACAAATGGATATTTCACAGATAAAAGAAGGAAATAATGATTTACTTAAAGTATAGCATTGTTTTTACAAATGGTGTAGCTAGTGGAAAGCTTATCGAGAAGGTATTAGAACTGGAAATACAAATATGCAACTTAAATGTCTTGCGACATTTTCTCTACTATTTTTGACTAGAGGTAAATTAAATTATACTAAATCAACATTTTGTTTTCTCTCTTTACTTGTAAGATATTCAAGACTTAAAGAATTACTACATTATGCTGGACCAATTAATTTAATAAGAAAAGGCCATTATTATGCTTTTGATGAGGCTCTTGAAACTTTTGATGTGAAATTCATTAAACAAAATATTACAGGTTAATGTTATTAATACTCTGAACGGTTCAGTTCAGTCTAGATTATAGGGCAATCTGAAACTGAACTGAAAATTTTAGTTCAGTTCAGTTCAGATTATAAATTCTAAAAATGTCAATCTAAAACTGAACTGAATCGTAAACCAGTAAAAATCTGAACTGAACTGAAAATTTTGGATTAATCTGAAATTTCAGATTGTTTGGAACGATCCTTTTATCGTTTTTTTAGAATGATAACTTCAATCGTTCTAAATAACAATTTTTTATCGTTCGTTTAGAACGATAATCAATCATTCTAATTGAATAATTCTTTTATCGTTCGTTTAGAACAATAACTTTAATCATTTCAAATGAACGATTTTTTTATTGTTCTTTTGGAACAATAACTTTAATCATTCTAAATGAACGATTCTTTTATCGTTCGTTTAAAACGATAATTTGATCGTTCTAATTGAACGATTTTCTTATCGTTTGTTTAGAACGATAACTTCAATTGTTCCAAATGAACGATTTTTCTTATCGTTCGTTTAGAACGATAACTTCAATTATTCCAAATAAACAATTCTTTTATTGTTCCAAATGAACGATTCTTTTATTGTTCGTTTGAAATGATAATTTTATCATTTCAAACGATCTGAAATTTCAGATTAATCTGAAATTTTTGCAATCTGAAACCGAATCGAAATTGATCTAAACTGAAAATTTTCAGATTAATCTGAACCGTTCAGAGCTTTAAATGTTATTAATGAAGAGAATTTGAAATGCTAAATAAAAGCTGTACAAGAAGAAAGAGAGAGAATGAACCTACTTTTTGGTGAATTTATTAATAATAATGTGATGTTATGTGATAAGCATTCAGTTGATAATTGATATACAGCCCTTTGGAATTTAACAAAATCTTTAATAAAAGCTTTTGGTTCAGTTACTCTATTAGAGCATTCGCTTTTTAAAAATAATAGCCAATTAAATCAAGAAGAATGTCAAAAGCTATTTAAATGTTATAATACTGGGTTAGAAAGATTAAAAGTAATATACAAACAAGAAATATTAAAAATAGAAACCGTTAATTCTAAGGGAAGAAAAACCAAAAAGGTAATAATTAGCAAAGTTAAGGATATAAAAAAAGCTGAAAAAGAAACAGAAAAAGCTGCCAAATTATCAGGAAAAAGATTGCTAAAACCTGCTGAATTGCCTGAGCAATTATCCTCAACTCTGAAAGAAACTCAAATTATTCCAGATTTAATTCATAAAAATTTTGTAGATATCGATATTGAACATATTTCTGAACCATCATCAAAAAAAACAAAAAATGTCATTTAACTACTCAACAAGAAAAGGATTTGCTAGAACCATTGTTAAAATCCATTTCACCAACAGAGGAGGAAATTGAAGAAGTTTTAACAGAATTACTACAGGTTTGGAACAGTTGGACAAAGAAATAAGTGCAAGATTATTGGAGTCATCACAAACAAAAACTTAATGAACCTAGTAAACAAAAATAAATTAGAAGTGTTGTAGGTTAGAATATTATACAAGTCTGGTTAAATAACTGTTTACCTTAATAAAGCTGAGCTGCACTCAAAAAAATGAATTAACTCCTCTTTTTCTTATTAAATTCAGTTTTTCGCGATTTATTAAAAATCCATCTGAATAACTAACTTTATAAACTAAGAAAATCTGTTTTCTTTTGTAAAATTACATATATTTATGTAGTTAATATTGTATATTTCTCTCTAAGTTTAAAAGGATCTTAAAAAAAACTCATTTTTCGCAACGAATTTCTCGAGAATGTAAAAGAACCAAATAATTGTGAAAAAGGAAAATCATTTTAAGGAACTAATAGATCACATGATGATCTATCAAATTTACTCAATTAGTTTCATGTTGAATAATAGGATTGACGAATAACTATACAATGAATTAACTTAATTATAGTTACACAAAATTCTTTAATATAAAATTTCATTTGGTTCCGACATGTCCGGTGACTGTTATATTGCCGAACGTTATTTCATAAAATTTAAAAAGCGAAGATAAATTTTGTACAATGTATTTCCTCTTCCCAATTTTTCTTAAGAGAGTTGGAAAAACATCTACCAAATTGTAACTAAAAGCAAAAAATAAGAATAAGCATTTATTCATTGTAGATAACTATAAATGACAAAGAATTTATTATCATTATCTCCTTTAATTTTTTGCATGATAGCTTCTTTGAATGCTTCTCCCGACTCCTATAAAACGAGCGGAAAGACGTCAAATATGTTGCAATCCACCAGAACTAAGATAAATTAGAGCTTCCAATAAATCATTAAATAAATTCAACATCCATGAGAACTTGCCTTCAGAGCATCCTCAAGATAGCTCTCGACTTTAGTCCACATAGGTGGTACTTGAACGTGAATTCGGTTATACTCCAAAGACTGTTCCATTGCATTAAGATAGCTAATATATAATAAAGTAATCAAAATTTACTATGAATATGAAACTCACCAAATAACCTTCTCATCATACATTAGTCGCTTGTTTGGAGTATAAACATCATCACTTCGTGGCAGGAGAGGTAGTGCACTTATTATATTTTTTTTTGTTGTGTTCCTAAATAATAGTAATAGTATTATGTTAAATAAATTAAAAGGTTCGCCTACAATTTTCAATAATTAAGTATTTTAAATAATTACTATACCTTATCTAAATTTCTCGATTCTGTTACTATTTCAAATTTATTGGATTTATTTTCATTTGATAATAAAAAAGGATTGTCTACAACTGTAACTTTCTTTGCTCTATCGTCGAGTGAATAAGAAGACTTTCACTTCAAAGCTATTATTTTGCATCATAAAGATTAAATAACAATTTAACACATAACGATAATGTAAAATGAATTTGATTGTATTACCGGAGGAGGCAGTCACATCTGCGTCACGCAAATCATCGATTAATCTTCTAGTCATATGATGTTTCTAATAAAATTCTCATTATTATTGTAAAATAATAATCCTAAGTTCGCCTTTAAAACTCACCTCTAATGTTTGTAACGAGTTTGCCGATATTATTTTGCGACGGATTGCCATATAGTATTCCCTTCTTTCCTCTTTTAGTTTTAATTCCTCAATAAAATTATTTACGTTACCTGAAGAGAACAACTTATCAAAGTTTGATAAGAGTTTCTTCGCTCTTTTTTTCGCGTTCCTATGAACGTTTATGTTTATATCGTCATTAAAACCCCGTAATACTGAATATATTTCTTCCCTCAGAATCTCGATCATATCAGCGGATAATTCACTTTTAGATTCGATATATTTAAGTAAAGAAATAATAGACCAATCTTTAACTGGCGTACGTTGAAGAAACTCGTTCGCAATTGACTCAAACATCTTCAAAGAAATCGTATTAAAAAAAAAGCTATTATATGTGTCATACGCGTATTATTTAAAATATAAATTATTGGTTAATTATTCATCCAATCGAATTTATCGTCAACTGATCACGCCACACAAATCTTACGCGTATTATTATCAAGACGCAGTATATTCTTGATATCTTATTGCAATCGTAAAATAATTCGTTTCAGTTTAGAAAATTTTCTGTCTTACTATGTCAAGCAAATCCCTACTGACGTATGGCCATTATGTCCTGCGTTGGATGTTTGGTGCTAGTCTCCAGAAATGTCCTTGAGCAAGTATGTTTCAAGGCCTTCCCCTGCATGCTAGTATCCAGGATTTGTTGTCATCCCTACTGGCGTATGGCCATTATGTCCTGCGTTAAATGTTTGGTGCTAGTTTTCAGAAATGTCCTTGAGCAAGTATGTTTCAAGGCCTCCCCCTGTATGCTAGTATCCAGGATGCGTATACCTACTGGCGTATGGCTATTATGTCCTGTGTTAGATGTATGGAGGCAGTCTCCAGAAATGTCCTTGAGCAAGTATATTTCAAGGCCTCCCCCTGCATGCTAGTATCCAGGATTTGTTGTCATCCCTACTGGCGTATGGCCATTATGTCCTGCATTGGATGTTTGGTGCTAGTCTCTAGAAATATCCTTGAGCAAGTATGTTTCAAGGCCTCCCCCTGCATGCTAGTATTCAGGATGCGTATACCTACTGGCGTATGGCCATTATATCCTGCGTTAAATGTATAGAGGTAGTCTCCAGAAATGTCCTTGAGCAAGTATGTTTCAAGGCCTCCCCCTGCATGCTGTTTTCCAGTATACAATTGACTTTCCATGCTTCTTTTGTCAAATCGGTCTATCTCTCAATTCCCTGGATCAAATTATACGCAAGTTTTGTCTGCCATTACGATGTCATCTATTAAAAACTAGTAAGCCAAATATTCTATATTTCCAAATCAATAAAAAGAATATTAATCTTTTTGACTTCGAGAATGTTGTGAGAAGTTAAGATTTTAAGATCACAAAACTTACACAATATTTACAAAAAAAAAAAAATTTGATGCAAATGCCTGAATTGAATAAAATTTTATTAATGATTTTTCAGATGAAAATGTATGATGATATCAAAGAGGGTGAGAGTACGCGGATCCTAGACCACTTAATACGAGTCCCAGCATCATGTTATTTCTTTGCTCTCTCAGGCTTATAAATTTTTATACTATTTGTTTTGTTACTATTACTACTGCTAATTACACACCAATACTCTTTTTTTCTACACTAAATTCTGAAATAAATCATCCCACATATATCTATGTCTATCAATATCACTTCCACACACACAAAACCATATAAATTATTAAGTTCCGCAAGAGCACTTCTCTGAGATTAAGTAATTTCAAAATTACACATAAATCTGGGAATTAGCAACTGGTATGCAATGCAATATTAACCACTACGATTAATTTTTACAACACCCACTCCGTCTCATATACAAGAAATTTATTGCTTATTTTTTTTTTATCACTTAAATAATACTATGCCAAATATCAAGAATTCGGCACGTGAAGATGCTTATAGAAAATTTTACTGCGCTGATAGTGCATGTGGATAATATCCCGTCACAAGGAATTATTTTTATGATACTGCGTCTATTATACGCATGATGATGGTCAGTGATTTTCTCGGCGAAGATCAAAATGCCAGAAGAGTAATATGTCCGATTTATTTTGGAACTCCTATAGAGGCGGGAAAATTATGATGACATGTAACTAACCGAGCAATAGACCAACTTACTTTATTATTACTTTGCGGATTATTACTCGTTTGTATAATTGTTGATATTGATGATCTAAATGGTAGGTTTAAATTTTCTTTTGATTTTCACTTGATTTTTCACTTGATTCTTACACAAGGCAGATAAAAGGTTCACTAACAAAGGCGTTACCTATTTATATAGATATATGAATCAATTTCAGGATACGTCTTTGGTTAAAATTACGTTAACTTGATCTCATCACGAAAATTGATCAATGTGCACTCCTTAAATTTACAATAGAAATTTTTGACGTAAAGGGGTTTTTTATTATTAGTACATGTAAAAATTTTATGCGGAAATTACGCTTTATAGCTGAAATATACTCTTTATTTATTAAAAATAGTGCGTTTATCACGTAAAAATATAAATATTGCAAAATAATTTAACGGCCATGTCTACATGCTTTTAATATTGAAATATATAATTTTTTTAGTAATTCTGAAAAGAGTTGATGCTTTGAAGCAATTCCAGTCAGTATTGGATCATCCAATTTTAAAAATAAAGACCAACAAATTCATTTCAAAGGCAACAATTAATATTTGATTATATTCTAAGATCTGTAATTGAAAAGTTTTGGCTTTTTTATACTTCTTTTATGATATTTCGAGTCATTTAATAGAATTTAGCAAAATGTTTTAACAGAGATATATTATGTTTCTAACATTAATTCTATAATTAATTCTACTATTCAAAAACATAATATGAATATTTAGATACTGATGATTATAATTTTTATTAAAAGTATCATCAGCAGAAAATTCTTTTATTGATTATCATTATATTTTATTTAATTCTCAAGATAAATCAATTTAAAATTAGAAAATACAAAATTTGTAATAGTTGCAATTTGTGAAATTAATAACAGATTTGCACATAAATCAATTTATTTGCTATGAAAATAATGATTCCAATAGAAAAAATTAGAGAATTTTATTGATTTTGATGAAAATAAATTAGAAAAATTATTAATTTTTTATAAAATAACAAATGAGTCTATTTAATACTAGAATTTTTGAGTAAATAAGTAACTTAAAAATTGATAAATATGAAATTGATGCTACTTATGATACTAATATATAGGATTTGAGCTATATGTTTTACATGTAGAAGTATATGATACTATATTTTCATTATTATATTTATTTTTTAAAAATAATAGTCAATATATAGAAGGAATATGAACAGGAATAACATAAAAATCTTTTTATATTTTAAAATCAGAATTATAATCTAAATTCTTTTAATAGATAAAAATTTTATATAAATCTATATAATATATTCATATAATTACAATATAAAATCTAATAAATAGTATATTAAAAGAACTGTTATAGTGTAACTAGATTGGATTGACAAATGTGAAGCAGTGTATTACAAATCTAAATGCCAAACATATCAGACATATTTGACATATAGGATATATTTGATATATCTGATATAATTGATATATTAGACAAATAGAATATATTAGATATATTTGATGTATTTAACATATTTGATTTATTTGTTATATCCATCTATGTAGTTAATTTTATATAAATAGAGAATTATAAAATCATGTAAACAATAGTTCACTTTTAGTTTTCCTTTTAGTTTGCTTTTAGATATACACTTAATAGCGCTTTTAAAGGCATCTGGCCTAACCCCTCACACTTAGTACTTTTAGTTCTTCAATTTTCTTTATTTTCTTTTTTATTTTCTTATTTCTTTATTTCTTTATTATTTCTTATTGTGAATAAACACATTATTATAACTTTAAAATCAATTGAGCAGTCTTGCTTTTAGTATTGTTAAAAATATATCACTGTGTAAATTATAAAAACTTGAGTTAACTAAGTTGAATCACTATGTAAACTTAAAAGAATTACTATTTAAACATTCTGTCTAATTATACAATTTGCAAGAATTGTACATTAACATTTAACGCTGATAATAGAACTCTCTTTTCCTATTTATGTGATACTATGAGAAACCCTTTATAAACAATTTTAATAAATTAATAAAATATCAATGAAACTATTCAGCTATATATAATAGTCAAGAACATAACTTTAAAAAATTTGCTGACAATTTTTTTTAATAAATGACTTATCTTGTATTGCTTGTAATATATTCTCAAAAGAGATTTCATAACCTTTTTTTAATTTCTTTAAGTAGACACAAAAAGTCTTAGAAGCATCATTGTACACTAGTAAAAGTATAGAAGCTTTTTAAATTATAAGTACTGCAGAGACTATTAGTATACAAGAAGTATATTACAAAAAGACACTTAATACTTTTAGATATAGGAATATACTAATACTAACTTTTGCATGAGCAACTAAATATTGTATTTAAGCTCAAACTGAAATTGATTCTTTCCAAAAGAAATTTTAAGGCAATTTACTTACTTACTTTAATATATCACTCGTAAATTTGAGTCATAACTCTTCTTCCTTCAGAATGACTAGAACTTCTAAAATAATCACTCTCGAAAGTAGTAATATTTCTAAATTAGCTGAAGAAAATCTTTTCTCTTTTTAAGAAAATTACCCATCTGAAGAGATCATAATCGCTAATACTATTCCTAGCAGAAAAAATACTGGTAAACAAACTTTAAGTTTTAATAAATCAACTTTTAGCTCTTACAGAGGAACAGAAAAACTACTAAAACTAACCTTTGTAAGATCTTTTGATAAAGAAGAAGCAACCTTAGACCAAAAGTATACTAATCTCTTACGTTTCTCAAAATACAAAATCAGTCATTTACAGGATCAAGATAAAAGTTTAAAGACAAAGAAGTTAATAAACAGAAGAGTTACTGTTCTTCTTCCTACTATGATAATTTCTTATCTTCCTTCAATTCTGACTCTGAAAATAATGATTTAGATAATGATAATAAAGATCCTTTTGATACAGATAATGCTAAGGACTAAGACAAATAAAATTTTTTTCAAATGATGAAAGGTCTTTAAACTGTCTTCAAAACTATTAGATTTGGTGGATTATGAGAAGCTAAGTTTATAGACTTACCAACATTTAAGGGTGAAGATCAAGACTCTAGGGAATGGTTAAAAAGATATAATCATGCTGAAAATGCAAATGGAATTTCTGATAAGCGATGCCTTACGTTAGTTCTTTTTTTTCTAAAAGGATCAGCCCTTACTTAGTACAATAAAATTAAGAACGAAAAAGATTTGCAATATTAGGATAATTCTAGTAATTAATAATATAAATACTGATCCTTCATCTACCACTTCTTGAAGCATTATTATATAATTCACAGAAGAACACAATGGTATTCTATGCTTAGACAATGTAAACAATATTCTGACAATCTGTTTTAGATTACATTACTAATATTGAATCATTATACCTCAAACTTAATCCTAATTATAATATACCAAAGGATGAGAAAATTGAACAATTCTTACAAGGACTTTAACCTGAGTTTTTGACCACAGTAGCTGCTGCTACACCTCATGATTTAGAGAAAACTATTAATCAAGCTTGAGCTGTTGAAAGCTATTTTCTCTAAAGATAGTGTTCTTTCAGGATATTCCTTCAGTAAAATCTACTTAAATCAACATGATAAAAACTGAACAGAAAAAAACCTTCAACATGCAACAGCTAATTAAAGAAAAAAATGAGAAATTGATGAAGAAATTTAAACAATTGTTGACTATTACTTCTATTAATCCACATCTAATAATAGCCATTCTATATATAATAATAATAATTGAAGGAATAGTAATAATAATGATTAAGTTTGTTATAACTGTAATTAACTTGAGCATATTGCTAAAAATTACTGAATACAAAACAACTAAGGTGATAATAAAAGCAACTTTTAACAAAATAATAGAAGTAATACTTATCAGAATAAAAACAGATGTTTCACTTGCAAACGAAAAGAACACATAGCCAAAAATTGTAATACTTTATCCAATGGACCTTGTTTACATTATCGTTAGTTTGAATACTAAAAAATCTTATGTCTGATTAGATCAGTGTTAAATTCTAATAATGAATAGCCACAAT